GAATGAATAATATCTTTAAAAAATTGATTTGTTGGATAAACGGTTAAATTACTAAATTGCTTTTATATTTGTCGTGGATATTTGTCGCCACAATCGGATGTTTACTGTCCGGAGTCGTGCAGTTTCTTGTTATTCCACATCGGAGGAAGAGGAGAAACGCTGAAAATTTTACACGAGCCGCGTGTGTGCAGAGAGCGCGAATCGGGGCAGCCACCAAAACACGTTCGAGCTCGACCTAGTCAGCTCGGCCTGCCTTGGTTCTTATCGATCCACCTTGCATAGGCCGTCTCCTCTCTTCCGAAATATTTGCCCCGCCGCCGCGATAACTGAGCGAGATGGACACTGTAGTTTCAATCACTGAGTTCGGAGAGAGTTATCTGCTGGTGCACGATTCTCGAGACTCTCATTTAAACTTTATGTCGATGTATCTCGCTTATTTAGATATCAGTATCTTGGATTTCTGAATAAATGGAACACTTTTAAATTTGTTATGCTACTGTTTTGTACGTTTTACTGTGCTATACGGAATTGTTATTGCATGAGGACATAAAGGAAATGTGAAAAGAACTTTTATTTTCTATATTGCGAATATACATTTTTACCTTTTATTTTCGTTGCAATATATCGACGAATATATTTTCGTATTTTCTCATGTTTTATTATTTGTTTATTTTCATGAATTTTTCTCTAAGGATAAGGTCGTTTGCGCTTTTGTTGTTTATCCGCGGTACGACGACAATCAGCAACCATTGTATTTTTCACGCATGATCTACTGAGTCCCTTCTTCGATTGTTAAAGGCCCTTTGATCACGAGACGGATAAAATTCTGCGATAAACGATAAATGAATGAGATAGCGTCCAGAGAAACAAGTTTGTTCCTCATTATTGCCTGTTATTTTTCTCGGCGCGGCTGCGTACGTTTCGACTCGCACTTATGGAACGACCCGGTTTCGTCATCGTGACAGGTAGATGCCCGCATACCACGTAGCTTACGATCGTGACTGAGAGAAACATCGTGGACAAAATGTCGAAATTATCCTAAAATCGTGTCTTAGGGATATCAGCGGGATAACGTGCTATCACTGTGAGAACAGTAGTTAAGAATATTTTTACAGACATTTGTAATTATAACAGTTAAAGTCACATTCATATACATAACTTTTACGAACGAAAATGTCTCTGTTCAATTTGCAAATCAAATTCGCAAAATGTAGTAGAAACCGTTGGTGCCAAGATAATTACATTTGAATATATAGTCGTAGGAATTAAGACAAATTCAAATCTGAAACAATCTAAATGTTTCAATTATTTCAAGTTTCTACACGATATAATTAAGAACTTGATTTTTGTTATCTTTTTAAGTTTGTTTTTTTTTTCCGACGAAAATATAATGAAATTAATTTTTGATTGCTTATAAATAGTATGTTTTACTTATAGAAAAATATTATGATTGTGATAGTGTTAGGATATAGAGTAGGAGTACGGTAGACATCGTGCGTTATTAAATGCTTTTCGTGTTACGTCCGTTCTTCGAAATTATAGATGCATCCGCGAAAACCGAGACCACGAAATAGATATGGATATACAGTCCGCGGATTATTACAAGGAGCATCGAAATGGGATAAAATAGTATGTTAGTAGGTAGAGACGGGAAAGAGTAGGCCAAGGCTGCGGCTACGAAACTAGCTACAAACTATATGATACGAAAATTACATACATACGTTTCATACATCTCGGAATTAAGAAGATAATATTCTCTTCTGATAGAGCATTTCAGCTCGGCAGATGTTTTCTATCTTTCAATAATTACGTTGTTTGAATGAGAGATAAATGAGTCTAGAATTTTTTAGCTGAAGCGTTCATGGATTAAAAAGTTACGCGAATAAAAAATTTATTTTATTTATCATTATGTGACAAAGTGTTTATTATATAATTTAGTAAAAATTTATTGCTAGAACTTGGTGGGTGCTATGTAGATTTCATTCATGCAATCCGGAAATGTCGCGCAAAGGCAGCTGCAATCGGCGCATGACATTATGTGCTTTGCGCATTTACGTACCGCATACCGAGCCGATTGCGAGTTAATTAATTGCCGCAATAAACGGTCAACGTGGCCCGCTAATACGAGAGCCTACTCTCGCACTCGGTCCTGTTATCGTTCCACTGATTAGGCTTACTCTTGACATCCTCGTAACCTGTGATGGCGTGGTAGAAATTCCTTCTGCGATCGATAAAATACGTATATTGTATCCGAAACTGTCATTTGCTATGTTATTAAACTATAGTCAACTTGAAACTTGATTGCAGATTTTTAAATATATTTATATAGTTATAGTAAAATAAATTTTCATCAAATTACGATTCCATTTGATGTTATAAAATTTATTGTTACTATTCAATATAATAATTAAATGAAATATAATATTCGTAAACAAAAGTGTTACGATTAAGTGATAAATTTCTGGTAATTTTGATATTAAAAGTCCAGTTAAAAAGTAAGAATTTATTGAATCGATATTATGCAGAGATGTTAAGCGTTAATTGGCTGTGACAGGTTTGAATTTGATCCACTTTTTATGACGAAATGCTGACTCGATGAAAGTCAAAGTACGAAAGCATGCAATTGCAACGCGAATGAACATGCTTCACTGACTTTCCACGAACATTATCGACGACAATTCAGAAATCCCGAAATAATCCGCGAGGTAATTTACATTCTCTATTTCGCGAATATGGAACGTTAGCAGGATTTTGAGCAGCTTCAGAGAAATTCGTAGTTCGTGTGCAATTGCAGTTTATGTGTGATCTTTTTTCTATTATATGTTTGCGCAAAAAGGAATTTTATGTTTCTTTTAAAAATTAGTGTTTAAAGCATTAATATTTAATTTCTATTTTATAAACAGTTATTTTACACTAAAGGAAGTTAACAAGTAAAGGGACTTGTAATTTCCAAATCAATTGAAAATGTATATAATTGCCTGTTTTCTCTGTTAACTTAATGTTTGCTCGTTGTTCGTAGAACATTGCAATTCTAGTCGAAACTTTGATTCGTGAAGATAAGGAAAAGAATTTATTACTTAGACAAACGAGGAAAAGTGAAGATTTTTCGAATTCGGTTCAGTAGTGATTTCAGCTAGAGATTGATTAGATTAGATTCGTGGTTGATGCAGCTTTCCCTTCTTATTTCCTCGTCTTCATTCCGTGTAAAGGCGATCGCTAATTCACGATGAGCTATTTCAACGGACACGACAATATCAGTGCCGCTGGCACATATATAGTGCATGTGAGCTTTCGTGGCTGCTGCTACTGCGTCGTCACGACCCCGGATACGAGACAGACGAATGGTTATTAAGATGCTATTCATTGCTTCAAGGTATCTTAGCGGCGGGGACTTTTTGCGTGTTCGAGCTAGCCGGAAGAAAATTCTTCGATTAGGTCGCAAATGCGTATTGCGCGAAGGAACGAATATGGTAGAAGCGCGAAAAGAATTTTACAAAGTGGAGATTTTATATAAGTGCTATGAAGAAATAGTTTGTGAAAATATATTAATTGAGAAGTTGTTGATAAAACATTTAAATTAAATTTCCGGTCAGTGTTATTAATTACGCAAATTTAAATAAATTTGTCGTCGCCAGTTAATTTTTTTTTGCTTGAAACAAGTATATTCATAGATGTATTTAAATGTAAAATTTTTAATTTTTTAAAATGTATTATAAAAATTAAAATTTATATATATATGTATATAGATTTTCAAAATTATGATATAATTTTTAGCTAAGTGATTCTCTTCTCACTTGTATTAAATATCAAACTTATGTCTGTATTATATGTGAGTTTTTGATTAAAATTTATAAAGATTTTATTACTGAAAGAATAATAAAGTTATTTTAAAATTAATAGATTTTATGTAAAATATTTATGTCTTGCTTTATGAAATCATTACGATATTCGATGAAAATTTCTATTGATTTTTATTTATCAAAATGTATTCAATTCAAAATTTTTTTATCGACTTTTTGATGTATAAAAAAGTTGCATAAAATTTTGATAGCGGAATTAATATAGTAAATATATGGAATCTCTCCTTTTTTTTTTACATTTTGCATAACATAAATCAGTCGGTTTACGCAAACCGCTACGACAATGTGGACCACGGATGAACGGAGTGAAAGACAAGGGGTGGGTTCGATATAGACCAAGATTCATCTACACAACACCGATATCCGCCGCTTCGAGATACTCGATCGCTCAACGATTTATATTAGAAACTTGACCTGCATGGCCTAGAAAGACGTCTCTAGTCTCTGTCTGCTGCATATGGCGATTCCTCGGATTAGCGTTATACATTTTTGCTGATTTTTTCGTTAAGCGCTCGCAAAATGACTTTTCTACGACTCCTGCGATGACTCCTTTATGTCGCGTCCGATATATCATCGTCGGCTGAAACGGGGGAATAAAGACGGCGAAATTGCACGCGAGGGTTGCGAGGCGTAAATATTCGCGTTGCAACGGCTCCGCCACGTGGAACACGCATACGATGTATCGTCAATGTCGCAGCACAAACACGTAGTTACTTACCTATTTATCCCTGTGCCTCGATATTCAGATATAGAGTTACTGCATTCGATACGAAAGCGCGCCCGTAATCCGCTGCGATCTTGGTAGCACGAACGTCACGTTTTGTCCTTTCATATTTTGACACTTTTACGTCTTTTTTTTGTGTCTTTTGAAACGAGAGGAGGCCACGTTTACTCACTGACAATGTAGTGGCTCTATCCCGACATAGATCTCTTCTATCCTATGAAGCCCAAGTTGTAAAATAGATTCTAGTACAACGGGCTCGCTCTTACGCCTCTTTGCAGTACATATATATTAGTAAACTTAGTTTTATCAGATTTTGTGCGATTTTTTTAGTCGTAATTATGTTCCTTTTCCCTCTTGTTTGTTAGCCGCTGCGCGCCATATCGATTTTTCTCTATCTTTTTCTTCGATCCTTACAGATTGGTTTCCGAAGATGTGCTCCTGCTTCGATGGCAATTCCGCGCTACCGAATAGTCGAACAGTCGGTCGTAGTGCAAGCTACGAGCGACTCGGTTCCGATCTCACGATCTTCGAACTCAACAATACGATACGAAGGAGTCGAAGAGAAGATCAGAACTTGATCGATAACGAAAGACAAGTATGTATTAAAGTATTTCGTGCTTAAATAAATAACTTAAAACTATTTCTTGATCAACTTTGTTAGCGCTTGGTAAAATTAAGAAAGTAAATTTGGAATTATGTTATAGTGAAAAATGAAAAGAAATATAATTTGTAAGTAAATACGATAAAATAATAAAGTTTTTTATTTAATTATTTTAATTAATTTAACGTAATTAATTTAACGTATTTTTTTCATACGTTCTGTTTTTAAAACAAAAATGAAATAAAATCTCGTGCACAGATATATATATATATATATATGTGTGTTTTTTTATAATTTATTTATAATATATAATATATAATTTATATATATAATATAATAATGAAATGAATAAGCTAAGGTTTTAATTATGAGAGAAGATTGTAAATTAATTTAATTAAATTAACTATTTCTATTTATTTGTATAACTAATGTGTTTCAAACGTTCAACTAGGAAGAATTGCGGTTCTATAACAACGATCATACTTTTACCACCCTGATCGTAGAGAAGAACCTGCGAACGATGGACTTGTGTGAAATGCTCAAAGTCAGGAAAAATACGATCGGTGCTGCCTGGTCGATAATCGAGGTGTGGCCAAAGTTAGGAATTGGTATGTACGCATAATAATTAATATAATAATTATAAATATTACGTCGTCATATTCATTATTTATCATCAGGATAATTAAATCGAATTCTACTACACGCTATCTCGAATCTCTGGAATGTAGTTAAGAATCAATCAATAAGTACTCAAATATATACAGTTCTTCGTCATGCTCACGCGAGTAGTAACGTGTCATCGACCGTACTTTGAAAACCTGCGATTATCCTCTTTCATGTAGTTACTCGTTGAAGTAAGATTGCTATTCTCACAGAAAAGTACTTCTTTTAGAGAGAAAGAAATACAAACATTTTAACATTTGCAATTTTTATACTTATTTTTTACATCACTGAAGGGCATGCACAATTCAAAGCACAATGCATGGCATTTACAGAAATAAATTTAATAAATTTTCGATATTTGGATTGTTATTGGCTTTTCAATAACGCAGATAGAAACAAATACGAGTAGAAATAGAAATACGGCGAATTGACGATTATTTTCGGGATATTTTGCTATTATCACTCGCGTGACGCAGTTGAAAGTTATTTAGAAGCTCGACGAATGTGGTTTATCAGGTTCAACTTCTACAAAAAAAAACAGTTTATCTATAAAAACATCGGCGCGAAAAAAAACGTAGATAATTCGATAAAAGTTCGTTGGCGCACCCAGGGAAAAGTGATGGACAGTCTCTAATGCATTGGGAAAACTCCAATCATTTAAATTTTCTCTACGGTATTCGCTCGGGATCGGAAATAACGTGTGCTTGGCGCGGGGAGGAAGAGGGCCGTAAAGACGGCACAGGGTTCTATAATGCAACCGAGAATCAATAGCGGGCGAGCCTCCAGGAGTTTGGTGCAGGTCAGAAACGCGACTCATGGCCGTGTCTTCGTATGGAATGTTTGTTTAGAACTTTGATCGAAATGTCGCGCTATTTTAGTTTAATGTACTTCTATCACAAATCGTTTTATAAATTTGATCATCTGTCGAAGCAGTTTACAGTATCTGTAAATGTAAAACTCGTTATAAAGATTTAATAAACATAAAAAATATATAAAAAACATAAAAATTTAATTAATTTTGCGATAAGAAAGTTTTATATTTAAAAATTAATAATGTAAAAAATTGGGGACACTATTTAGGACACTATTTATAATATAACAAATCTGAGGAGTGTTTCGTCATTTTTTTAAAATTAATAATGATTATATGTTTTTGAATTCTTTTATATTTCAAAAGTTGTTAAATTTATTACTACGTGAAATATAATATACGGAAAAAAATGTTTTTGTTGCAGAACGTACAGTAGAAGACCACGAAGACATTCTGGCTGTCCATAGAGAACTGGAAATGTTTGCTTCGCGTTACGAGAGGAGGTTCTATTTCAGTGAAGACTTTCTAAAATATGAATTGTTTGTTAATCCTAAGGTAAGTGAGAAAATCATAAATAATTCTATTATTTTTTACGCTTTTTATAAAGAATACATATTAATCATTTGCAATTTTATATTTGATATAGTTTTTTTGTAATTTTCTATGCAGTTTTTAAACAATTCATAAGTCCATAATTATAATTAATGTATTATATTGTTATAATTATAATTAGCGTACTGTATTATAAAGTTTCCTAAATGCCAAGAATTGATAATATATTTGTCTTTCTTTGGTAGTGTTAAAATAAAAAAACAAAAGCTTTAATATTAATTTATTTGTCGAGATTGATTTGACTTGCAAAAGATTAAAAATTATCTGAAACATGATAAAACTTGTGTTTTTTGGTATTTTTCTCAAACTAAAATTTCCAGTATTTTTACCGGAGGTAAATTGTATTAACTTGTGCGTGGTAACTTACCGACTGATTTTATCAGCTATGTTGGTTACCCTGAAATACCAACGAATTACTGTTAGAGACTGCAGGTAAATTTTCATGATTATCGAACGATTGAGGAATTCCTACATTTATCGATCATTCTGAGTTTTCCCGCATAATTATCCAGACGTTTAGCATATTGCAATATATTTATTACTTACAAATATTTAATATATGCGCACACATTATAAAGTAACATATTTTTATGAAATTGATCCTAAATACGATAATATCGACACTGGCAAGCTTTAACAGTACTTCGTCGATATCAGCGTCGGTATTCAAATACCTGGTGAGTTTTCTCGTTTACCGACGATTCATATTATCCCTCAACCTTTCACTAGGAGCTATCTGGAAAAGATGTCCAGATGGCATGAGAGACAGTGTGTATGAGGAACGTTATGGAGTCTAGAGAATTCGGCGGTATTGATTGTATGTTCATGTCCTTTTACAGGATTGGCCGCGTAGTTTCGTTTTAAATTCAATACATCGGAATTATACAGAAGGTATTAATGATATATAAAAGTTGAATAAGATTTTGTAGTAGTAATATTGTTAAACTTTGTTTGAGAACAGAAATTATGCAACATATAAAAGCTGGTGGTTTGTTTGGCGCTAGTTAAACTCACTAATTAATATACTTGAACCGATATCAATTAGCGGTTTGAAAACCAGTCCGCTACGGATTTCATAAATCTTGTAACTTAGCCTCCATTTGCCGATGATTGGCCAATTAAAGGATAACGAACGCGGAAACTTCGAAAACTGTACGTAGTAATCGACGCACTTCAAAGAGGAGAGAAAAGTCTTGGGACAACTTTGTTTTCTCGTAAAACGAACTCTCTTGTTTCATCCGTCGAAATCTTTAGAAAAATTTTGAAATAATATGTCTATATATATCTAGAACCACTTCATGACGAGATATTTACGAAATATGAGATATTTATTCTCCCATTTGTCGAAGTGTGTTAAATCCATCTTGGCATCATTTTTAGGTTATTTTTCCCAGCGTCAAAAGTATCTAAATTTTCATTTTTTGATGATAAAAATAACGATGATATAAAAAAACGCTTTTGCATTGTTTTTGCAGCAATTTTTTCCCACCGACATGGTCGCGTTTCCAAGCGGAGAAGACCGGGGCACATTCACAGAAGCCGAGAGCGCATTAAAGGTAAGTACATGTATGATTTTCTGCTGATGTACCATGAGTGAAAATGTTGTTAATTAAAATAGAAACAAATACGCTACTCACATTACAGAATTATTTGTTACGAGAGGACAGCGAATGTCCACAAGTATTCAGCATGGTGTGGATGCGACATGTGAACTCGGACGGCTGGAAAAAGATCTACATGCTGCTTCAAGGCCGGAAACTCTACACGACGAAGAGGGTGAGTTTTTTTTTTATCTTTTTGCGAAAATTGCGAATTATTCGTATCAAAGTAAATCGCAATTTTTATTATGCAATATTTATATATCACAATTTTGCCTTGTGCTGGTGATTACTGATTTCTCTCAAAACTTGTCACTATATAACGAATAAACTCGGGCTAAAAATCGAGTTAAATTAACATCAATATATTAAATTATTGTAGAAATTTACCGTTCATGTTTCACACCACATTTATGTAATGCAAAGTTTTTATCGATAATAGTTTCTTTTTATAACTTGGTTATAAAAAGACTGGTGCATTTTTCGTGTCATATCTTTTCCACGAAAACAATATCCAGCTGTTACATGTTAATGTCGCTTAATGACTTACGAATAAATTGCCGACAACGTTATGACTCATCCGTAACGGATGGCCCCGCGAAGTCCTTGAGAAAAGTGTTAGCACCTGCGAGAACGCTCGTCGATGCACGTAGAGCTTGACGATCGTTTACCGTCTAGGAATCGCTTACTCGTACTTTAAAGAACGTTTCACCGGTGATGAGTCAGTAAGAACCCGATCTTCTTCGCGAGGTTGCATTTTCTACCGCGATCACATAAAGATAATCGAGCGTAAGAAAGAAGAGAAACTCACCATCACTTCATGTTAACGTATTAATCATCGCAAGCTGAATACGTTCATTTACTAACACTAAGAATCAGTAGTTCCTTATGTAACATCTTTCTATATTCGGAGCTGTATTCTAAACGTAGCTACAATACGTAATATTTAAATTAAGCTAGCAATATTAAATATCTTTTATAACTATGTCGCGAAATACTTGTAATTATAGTCTGAAAATCTATAATTTATATATTTAAAATTAAAATAATATAAATTATTAAAAAACGCTGAATTTTTCGTAAATAACTGACGGTTATGTGATTACATGATTATATATATATAACAATTGCAATCACAAAGAGTGCGGTTAAATAATTTACGATATGATAAATTTTTTAGAGAAGTCCGGAATCACACGAGGCGATATCTTTTTTCTCCTTGAATTGTGGCTCTCTGTAGAATTGTCCCACAATATATTTCGGTTTGACGGTAATGTTAATTTGGCCCAGCCATCGAACAAATTCATTTGCATAATTAACACCGTGCGATACGGTTGGCAACCGTCGCTCACTCGATGATACGCGAGGCGTAAGGTAGTCATTTTCGAGATAACTAGCGGCTAGTTAATGCACGACGATTTCCGAATTCAGCCTGTAGGTGTGCCGCTATCATTTGTTTTGCAATTAATTTTATTCGGATACATCGACGCGCGTACGACCGGTAGCTACCGGCGTGTCGCCGTTAAAACTGACGGCTATGGCCGAACGCTCGTTTCGTGAACCCCGCGCTTCCGCGTCGCGCGTCATTAATCGTCGCGTATTAAAGCCAGAATCATATCGGCGAGCGAGCGATTATCCGAATATCGCACGTATCCTATGACAAAAAAGCCCAAAAAAAAGAAATCCATTTGTCACACATGCATAAAATATCGAGTGAGTTACGACTGCGATCGTTTCGACTGGTGATTCATCTAGTTAAATAACGATAGCGCGGCGAATAATTACAGACATACACACAACCCGACTGCGCTCGTGAAATATTATCGCTGAACATTCTCCCATTATCTGCGTATATCAATGCTTCGATATATGTTTGCAAGTGCTCTATTTGCATACGTTATTGAGCAAAAGTACTTAATATGATCTACGTCATGGAGTCTTATCTAGTGCAAATCAATATTTATTCCCAAGTGAAAAAATACGAACATGTGATGGGGTCTGCTTGTTTGTAGGTCTTTTTCTTTTTTTTATACAATGTATTGCGCGATTTTTTACTAGAAGTTCACTAATTAATAACCAGTATTGTCGTTGTAATTAATAATGAAAGTCGAGACATACGCAGCGTTTTTCTTTTGTCCTTCGCGTCGCGCCGAGAACCGGCTTGAAACGCAAGTTGATTGGCTTCGCGCCCAGCGTTAGCGCGTAAGAACATGATTTAATTATTTCAAGCTCCACCGCTTCCGGCGATACCGGCGTATCAGCGGCTAATATCTCGTCGGACGAAAGCGTCGTTCCGTAAAAAGTTCCCGCCGTTCATTGTTAGTGCTTCGCACCGACACCTCGGGACAAGATGGGATACGAGTACGTCGTTATTACGATACGTGATGTAATCTCTTCGCAGAGAAAAAGATTAAGTTTACGCAATGACAGGAAATTTTACGACGAATCGCGATAGGTTTTAACAGTACTGCCGCATATCGCAATTCAAGCTTATCGATCCTCGATTATGGCGACTAATACATACAGACGCACACATACACGTCTCGTGAATCTCACAGCTTCTTGCACAAATCGGATTTTCTTCATAGATACGGGTTCTCGTCGCGCGTTCCGCGCTTCTCTATCCTTCCTTTTAGTATGACGATCCGATATCGCTTTACCCCTTTAGCGACGTGATCTCTTGCAAAGTCTAGAAGTTTATTTTTGAAGATAAATTTCGTTGAAATTTCACGGAGCGAACTTTCCTTGTCCGTATAAGGCTTAATTATGCTCGTTTCGAAAGTCTGTATATCTTCTCCCGACTAAAAGTGAAATACCTCGCGATACTCTCGCAATTACTATCCGTGTCCCTTTTTATTATCGTCGCTAGATCGATTCGGCGGTTACTCTCACGCAAAAAAGAGCCTTTCTTTTTCCACTGGGACGCAGCATTATTGCCGTCTCGGTTTTATATTAGAACTCGCATGCGAATGTTAACATTAATTCGCGTGCGCAACGTATCGGGCATTATATGGATATTCGTACACGTACGCGCGTACTCTCAATTGTAATCGCAAATTGCACGGAATTCCATTGTTCGTGAAATGTATGCCTCATTCACTTCTTTTAACTCGTCATAAAAACTTAGTTACCTTTCCCGTATTTTTACGTAGGCCATGTAAAAAACCTTGGTTAAAACGCAAAACGAAACGATTGCGTAATCTCGATTGTAATAAGTAACGCGCGATAAATTTGACGCAAGGGTGCACACCGCGAATCTTACGCAACGCACGACTCGGCTGTGCGTGTAAGAGCGCGGCGTGCATGAAAGATCTGTTAGAAAACGGCTTGAAGGGGGGAAAAGGCTCCCTGGTGAGGTAATGGAGAAGAACGCGACAATTGCGCGGGAAAGCGAACCGGGTGCGAGAAAATATAGGTACCGATGCTAAATAATACGGCTTTAGGTGCGCCGTGAATAATCCTTACTAACCTTAACGTTCACGCCGTTATTTCGGTCCTCCTGGCGAATAATTTATGAACTTCTACCGCAACTCCTGCCAGCCGACGGTCTTATCTCGCGCTGGAGTTTCCCTCGGACGCGCGGTATATATCCGCTTCCTCTTAATTTCTAGCGCACACTTTGCTCCTCGGGGAGACGTCATCGAGAGACGTTACCGAAGCTTTAATGTTAGGCTGCGCTTTTACGACGGTCGTTGGCCGCGGCGAACGAGTCTTGTTTATTGTTCTTCGCGGACGGCAACGTATCAGCGTGAGTGCCACATGTAATATGCACATTCAATATACGTTGATGCACTTTGGGGGATCAGAATAAACTTGCGACGCTTTTATTATCTTCTTGTCGCGCGTACAACTTTAGAGATGTTGATTTATCGCGCCTCCATTTTACGCGCGCGTCGGATGATTAGTTGCACAAATTTTACTGAAGGCATAGTTATTATTTCGAAACTATGTCGCCTATAATTTTGGAGATGAAAACTTAATTACGTATCTATAGGAGTTGACATACTTGGTTGCGTTAAAAAGTTATCGAGAGAGAAGCGGTCGTAAACCTGAATAGTTAATATTATATCGGATTAATTAACGATCTCTGTAAATTACGCGTATGAAATAGGAACATGGATGCTTCAGCTTAATTAACGTCTATAAATTATCCGTGTGTGTTAAATAGAAACGTTGACGTTTACGTTCGACTTATTGCAAATGCCGATGCTCGGCGTTTTTATTGCCAGGCGACTGTTAGGATTCGCCATCCCGTTGCATTCACCCCCTCGGCTTTATCCCCGCGGAGTCCGATCTCGTCCCCGCTAACCCCCTTTTTCATTTCCTCCCTCGCAGCAGCGGGCGTGGCGCCGTTATCGCGGAAACGTACCCGCGACGGCAGGATAATTCTCTGTCCGCTACGTACGATCAATTCTATCGGCAAAAAACTTCCAAGCGAGAGGACGATCCGGTAGAGCGAATTGCGCGCGCGTTTTCCGTAGAAATATAAATACTCCTTCGCGCTGGCTATCGGTGAGAGCTCTAAACGAGTTTCGTTACTTAACATAATTGTTCGCTGCGACTGGTCGTGAGAAGTGTCTCGTGCGAGCAAATCGACAAACGGGGACAAGTAAAATTGCCGACGGGGCACGTACTTTACGACCGCGATGGTCCACTCTACCAATTTGTCCTCACTTCCTTCTCTGTAAATTTATTGTAAGTACGGTAATCGCATTAACGCGTGATCTCCACGGTGTGTCGTTAAGCGCCGAACGAAATAGCTGATCTCGAAAGTAATCTCGGGAAAAATATCGCGAGCGTCTTGCCGCTTTTTCAAATATAGAAATTTAATATGAATATTCAATATCATTTTTGACAAACAGGACTGATTAAGAGGAAGGAGAGAAAGAGAGACAGAAAAAAGAATTTTGCTGGTTACTGTATTCTCCGTCCAATTACATTTCCGTGAAAAGGTCGAAATTTCATTTATATCTCGATTGATTTCGTGTGGCAATACGCGTGTTTCGTTGCCATTCGCTTCAGTTTTTTTATTTTTTTTTATTTGAGTCTCGCGCGACCACGGTAGATAATGAGATTATGTAATATGATAGCTAATCCTCAGGATGTTCGCCTGTCGACGTCGGAGCGCGTCTCGACGCTGTCAATCTCGATTTACACGTAATACCATCCGTGATCGCG